ATGATTCACTGGGTGCAAACCTGAATCTAACATGACAAACATGCTTAAAAGAATTAAACTAAGATCCATACACATTGAAGTATTATCTTACACACACATCCTTCAAATATAACGGCATCTTCATTTTGCATTCATGCATGCATACACACACACACGTGTGTGTGTATATATATCCATATATAGCAAATTTACGATTTAAAGTATAATTATTATAATATTATAATCATGATGATTTGAGTATTAAAACTATTAATAAGTTTAATTGTTATATAATATTAATTAGCATGTTAATCCACAATGTAAGGCGGCATACATAAAATATAAAAATGAAAACCACATTAAAACTAGCCCTCTTATAAAATTTCAAAATATACACACAATATATCTATTTATATAATTTGCATTTACATAATTTAAGACGCAATCACAATACAGCCACACAAAGTTTACATGTATAGGAGAGAATATCTAGAGTTACCTGTTACTCCGGCTTACATGAAATTTATGACTGTTACTCCCAAGCCCATAATAAAAGTCTTATGGTAGTGGACTTGCTAAATAGAAATGCTTTAACCTCTCAATTAAAGCTACGAACAAGGATATAGGGCGTGGTGTATGGGAGAGAAACATAGAAGAGATTGGATATAAAATATAATGAAGAAAGGACGGTTTTCAGAAGAGGAAAACTTGAAGATTTAAGCTGTGGAAAGGGTAGTAACGATGGAAACTCCTTTTGTCCTTTTGCCTGCCTGATTGAATTTGTGGCTTTAAGATGGAGCACCCTCATCAACAATTAAAAATTGAGTTGCGAAAAAACCAAAGGATGCAGGGATAAAAGAATTAGTGACGACTGGTGAAAAAAAAAAGATGGGAAAAGGTGAGAAGGGATAAGTCTAGATTTAGGTTTTTCATAAATAAACTACTCCCTCCGTTCCTTATTATAAGAGACAGATAACCGAAATACGTTGATCAAAAAAACAGTTAAAATTAGTTAAAAACAATTAATGTGTAAAAAATATAATTTGTTTTCCAAACATGCCCTCATTAATAAGGAAAGAGAATAGGAGAGAGAATAATTAAAATATTAAAAGAAAGAGAAGTGGGAGGGAGAGAGAATGTGGGTTGGAGATAATAAATATGGGTAAAATAGGAAATCAATGCAAAAAAGTAGAGACAACTTTTAAGTGTCTCTTATATATAGGAACATACCATAAACATCAAATGTCTCTTATAATAAGGAACGGAGGGAGTACTATTTTATTTATAATCAAATAAACTATGGAAAGCAAATAAACATGTTGAGAAATAAAAAATACTAACTAATTCCCTCCCCAACTAACAAATTTACTAAATTGGAATTTGATAATTTTATTTATTATATATATAAATATATAAGACATTGAGTGTGTGTATAATATACATACTGGTGTTTTTTTTTTCCACTCACACAAACGCATACATTTATATATATATATATATATATAGTATTTATCTTATAATCCATTTAAATATTAAAATATGATTATATAAATAACATATATAATCTCATGAATTGATCTGTATCTTTTAAAATCTTAATATATTCTAATTATTATTTATATACTGTTAGTTAATCTACTCATTTTTCTTTTATATAAATCTATTTATTTATATACATATATACTCATGTGTGTGTATATCCAAAACATTTGTTTCTTCGTCTTTTGCCAGCCTAAAAGAGTTATTTCACATATATATTTTTTAATATTTGTCTGCATTTATATATATATATTTAAATACTTCATTAATATGTAAATTAATTCTAAACACAGTGTGTCTCTCTTATAAATCCTTGTACATTAGGAGAAATTGCAAATAAAGACCCCCAAATATGTAAAATTGTGATTTGGGACCCTGAATTTGGAAAATAGCAAATAAGCACTTCATTCCACTTTTGCAAATATGAAATATGAGTAAATATCTGAAATGTCTCTCAGCCAAATTGTGATTTGGTCTACTGAAGTTGTCATTTGCTAAAGGCCTGTTTGGGTGCTCTGAAACCGTGGTTTCAGAAGCACTTTTCCGCAAAACGAGGTAACCTCCTCCACATATTTACTTCGTAATTCGTAAAAACACTTCTGAAACCATGGTTTGGTTTCTATCCAAACACTCCCTAAAATGAATTTGTTATTTCCCATAGTTAACTTGTGATTTGGCTGAAAGGCATGTCAGACATTTCACCCATGTTTCATATTTGCAAAAATAGAACTGGGTACTTATTTGTTATTTTCCAAATTCAGGGTCTTAAATTATAATTTTAAATATTCGGGGTCTTTCTTTGCAATTTTCCCTATACATTATCCCTCAAGCATAAACTATGAATCACAAGCACTTCCCTAAATCCAACCAAAAAGGAAAAAAATAGGACGTTACAATACCAACAGAGAAGAGTGCTGAAAGAAAGAAAGAAAAAGTGGTATCATAGCATAAATATATTATCTTAATTTTTATACTATCATACAAACTATGCATATTTAAGAATAGACTTTTAACCTAAGAAAATTAGTTTTACATCAACTACAACTACCTAAACCAAAAGTACACTTTGTTGTTCAAAACTTATTTTCAAGATAATATAATAATTTCACTCTAACGTCAAATTATCTGCTTTGGATTGAAAAAAATTAATTAAAACATATTTAATACCTTCTGTAATATCTTACTCTAGCTCTTTTACTAGAACTGTTTAATTCACATTGATAACATAGTTTCAAGCTTTGTTTTTGAGGCTTAAAAAAATAATCTAATTATTTGCGAAACCCATCTAACATTTCAACTTCAGTGATGGGTTTCAAATATTATTTTGCCACTTTCAATTATGTTTTTTGTAGTTTAAAATACTGGGTCAGCATGGGTGACACAAACTTCATATTTATTCCATCATTACTTTCATTCCAGTTTCAAAATGGTACCCAAAATTTAGATCTATAAATCGTGTTCTTTCCCCATTTTTCCACCTTAAACCCAATGCTTAAAACAACAAATTGTTGTCATGAAAATCGCAGAAAATTGAGGGAACATTTATCAGACACAAACGCAACGACAAACTTCATGCACGAGTCTTAAGCATCACATACCTGTCGTTAGCTTGATCATTGCTTTTCTTCACTCAGCATCAAATTGTGTAGGATTGACCTAAGAGAACAATTCTTACAAAGCTAAAACATTAATCCAAAAATTAAGAGAAAGAGGTTAAGTTCAAGAGAGCTAGTCTTGAACCTTATATAATCTCTTATTCCTAATAGATAATATGATCATTGTGGCTATGTTTAGGATCTTGAGACATCCAAGAGGATGTTTGATGATGTTGAGCAAAAGCCCACATGGTTGGGAAGTCAAGAGAATCAAAGGAAAAGCAAGAGGAAAGCTTGAAGTGCAAGGTGGTGAACTTACCTATTGTTATTGCTTGATATTGTATGCTTGTGTGTTGCTATGTACATGTTATTTGAATGTTATGATGACATGTTTTGGATGCTGTAATTGCTACTTATGATGAGTAGATTATGTCTCTATGGCCATGCATCAAGAAGATAGCTTTGACCATACTATTATGTCACTAATTAACAAGAGAATAAGCAAGTTGTATGTAGTGCATTAGCATCCATCTAGCATGATTAATATGGTATTGTTTGCTACTAAAATTGTCCCAAATCTTATTCCTCCCTAACTAACCATTTAGGTCAATCAATGGTGGGCAATAATAGCATGAGAAGGAAGGACAAGGCAGTGGAAAATTATTCATGTTAATGAATGAGATTGTTGATAAATGTATAATTCTCTTATTTTGTAAATTATGTTTATGGATGCCCATGATGCAATATATGTGTTTAGAATGCCCATGGCATGAGTGGAAATGTATGAGAGTGAATGGGAAAGAGTAAGCCCAAGTTATGTATGCCAACTTAATAAAAAGAATCAAAGAAAGAAATGGTTGAGGGATAAAACGTAGGTTTTAGAACAGTTAGATTTGAGCTCCAGTTTGACCTATCAATTGAATGAATTAAGCCATAAAATTTGGCATGCTTATAGTACACATCTCAAGCTTTAAATCAAGACATAGATCACCTCAATTGGATGTGTACACAAGGAGATACGAATTTCCAAATTTGAGGCAAGAAATCTGAAAGTTCTAGAAGTTGCCAAATTAACAGTAAAGTTTAATGAATAAACTATATTAATTGGCAAGAGATAAGTCTATTTTGATATTTTTCTTAAACTAGATTTTTCTCCCCCCGTGTGTTGCACGGGAAATATGGACTCATGATCAATGTCTATCATTACAATGTATAATGTAACATAGGATAAAATGGCTACTATAGATAAATACACTAAATACAATTACCATCTATATTTCTAAATATTTCCTTGTACACAACATTTGTTGTGATTGACTTGAAGCAACCATCTTGATCGTCAACAACAACCTTCAGACCGTCCATACTTCTTACTCTGTATAATGCAACGTACAGCTGACCATGTGTGAAAACTGGCTTGGGTAAATATAGACCAACATGAGTTAATGATTGGCCCTGACTTTTATTAATTGTCATTGCAAAAGATAATGTTATTGGGAATTGTCGCCTCTGCATTTTAAACGGCCAACGACTTTTTGAAGGATTCATATCCATCCAATGAATTAAAACCTTCTGATAGGGTCTCGATCCATTCAACGTGACAGCTTCAATCACATTTTTTCCCAAGTGACAAATTTTAAGCCGTGTACCATTGCACAAACCAGAAGCTTGGTCTATATTTTGTAATAGCATGATTAGTTCTCCCACTTTGAGTTCTAACTTGTGCGGTGGCATTCCAGAGCAAGAAATAGTATTCAAGAATTCTGTATTGTACAAATCGTCAACTGTATCTATTTCTTGATCTGCTTTACAGACAGTATCACAACTGAGAAATTGAAATGAATCTACTGGTAACAAAGAACACATGTAGTAATTTATTTGATTGACCATCTCAATTGTTGGAGCCAAGATTGCTCTGTCATTGAAATAGTCATGAGACGCTAAATTATGAAGAAGATCTGGGTAAGTGCTGTGTACAATTGCATGAAGAGCATTGTCATAGTTTGTGAGTAACAGCTGTTTAGGGATTTCAATATTTGTAACACCATCTTTTGATTGCCCTATTTTTCCATCACCAATATTTAGCAACCAATTGGAAAACCATTCTAACCTTTCTCTATCATTGGAACTATTAGTTTTCCTTAATCACATGTTCTTCGTTAACTTGAAAATTCTGCAATGATTCCATAAATATGAAGAATTAATGGAAGCATTAACAATTGTAGCTCTTGTACCTTTTGGTATCACTGGAAGTATCTGACGAAAGTCACCACCCATAACAATGCATTTCCCACCAAATGGTAAGTTAGAGTGCATGATATCCTTTAATGTTCTATCAAATGCTTCAATGCAATATCTTTGAACCATAGGTGCTTCATCCCATATAATTAACTTTGTGGACTTAATCAGATTAGCTAGTGGTGAATTTTGTTTTATCCCATATACAGAAGATTCAATGATTTGAATAGGAATTGCAAACCTTGAATGTGCTGTTCTTCCAGATGGTAATAATGTTGCTGCTATTCCACTTGATGCAACTGGAAGAACTATCTCACCCTTTGCCCGTAATGTTGTAATTAATACATTCCAGAGAAATGTCTTCCCAGTACCGCCATATCCATAAACAAAGAAAAATCCACCCTGAGGTAGATTTGTTACAGATAATATATTATCATATATGATTCGCTGCTCGTCATTCAACTTCTGCATGAGTGCGGTAGTCTTTAATTTCAAAGACTCTCTATCATAATTTAACTCTTGCATTATCAGATGGTTCGCTATATGAATGACTGGAGTATTCGATGGCAATGGAAGAGATGGAAATTCATGAAGAGTCTTCCCATTTGCTCTAAGAATATTATTAATCTCTTTCAAAGCCATATTATCTTTATCAAACAATGAGATATGAATATCTACAAAATATGGGGAAAAAATTGGTATAAATATCAATATGATATATATACACATGTTTTAGGACATGAGAATTGTAGCTCACATACCTGAGAGGACAGGATCATTGGGAGGTATGTGAAGTAGATCTTCTGAGAGTATATGTGATGTCTCTTTCCATACAGTGTCAAGATGTTGCAGTGAGCAACATAATAACATGCTTACAAAAAGCCTTCGAAGTTGAGATCCTGAAGCCCATACTGATGCTTCTTTTATTGGAGCAATATATTCATTGTCATCTTCTAAGAGTCCATGTGCAAAACATGCAGCTTTAAAAGTATCATGAATCACTCCATCAACAGTTTTGATATCATCAAATGAAGTTGGACCCTTCACTTTAGTTAACAAAATTCAGAGATAATATAATTCTCCAGATGATGGTGATACATGTGTAATTCTACCAACAGCAAACTCCTTCTCTCTTCGTTTCCATTGGTGTTTATCTTTTTGATAAACATAATAATTAGGAAATTCAGCATATGTAAGACTTGCCGCTAAATCATCATCATTGTTCATTTTCATCCAAGCCAAAAACTGTGACTCACTAACTCGTGGTCTTTGTAATAAGTCCGCAACATCATCAGTATTAGAATAAATTACATATTGTTGATTTGGCAAGTGGAAACTCAATCTTTCAACCGGAGGAAATCGATAATGGATATCAAATCCAAACATACGCCATGATGCTTCACATGCAGATATGTATCTACAACTATAATATTGCCTTATTTCATCAACAATTTCATCCTTGTTGTTATCCTTATCAAATATAGTAGCGACAACTCTATCATTGCCTTTGCTAATATATTTAAATAAGTATTTAATTGAAGTAGATTGATTGCACTTCTCGACATTTATATGTCCTTGAAACATGCACAGAAGGGTAGGATTATATGGAACAACATAACGATTATCTAAGCAGACACCTTTAACTTCAATTGTTTTTCCATCATTTCTTCTTCTGTATGTGGGATAACCATCATCATCAACTGTGGTAACATCATTGAACTTTTTTGGAAAGTATTTGCTACATTTCTTGTCTTTCATGCAAGGAGATTTTGGGTTAACTATTCCACATGGACCATGGATCATATACTTCTTAACTAAGTCATACAGAATAGAAGAAGAATGCTTATATGGAATCTCAGCCGAAATAATCCGGTCAATGGCTTTTGGATCCTTGATTTTGTCATTTTCATCAAGAAATAACAGGATATGTGCATGTGGAAGGCCTCGTTTTTGGAATTCAATAGTGTAAACTTCTGTGGAAAATAAAAAAAGATAAAATATATTAATAATGAATATCACTTATAAAGTATACACAATAATAAAAATTTAAAAAATTAATATTTAAAATTAAGAAATATAAAAAATAATTTTGGACTAACCTGCACGAATTGTCCCAAATATCTTCTTCTCCCTTAATGTTTTCATGAAAGATCGTAATTTCATTTTGAAAACTCTGGACAATATTTCTGGTTGATCACATGGACTTACATTATCTTGTTGGCAAAGTCTAATGATTTCAGGCCATGCTGGATTGCAAGTAAATGTGATAAATAAATCTGGATAGCTTGCCCATCTACATAATGCCATAGCATCTTGATAATTTTGTAGCATATATCTTGCACCACCAGTAAAGGTTGATGGTAAAATGATATGTTTTCCCGTGTGTGAAGCATTTCTCTCACCACTTAAAACAGCATCAGATAATCCTTGATATAAATTCTTTTTGATGAGTTCTAACCCACAGCAATCGTTGTGATTCAATCATTGTGTAGCCATCCACAATGAATTGTTGAAGTAATCTTGATGTATGTAATAGGATTGACACCTCATTCTCTCTTCTCATAAGCCTGTATGTGAAAAATTCACGTATGCTTAACCTCTTTCTTGACTTTGTAATTGCAAGAGTTTCTTGTCTGTGTTCAATATCATCTCTATAACTATCTTCACCATATGGAAATAACAGAGGATATTGTAGAGGTAAATATGCTGGATGGAGTTCATTAATTCATTGAGGTCTCCCTGATTGCTCTTCAACAATGATGTCTCTAACATTAAACGTCATATCTATATCACCAACAATTAATGCTGCAACTTCAGAAGCAGATGGAAGATTATAGGTTCGCCCATCATGTGCCCTGGAACTTAGCAAGCATAACTTCAAATGTTGATGATTTTGAATGCTCAGAAACTGAGAAGCAAATCGATATTGTTGTACAAAAGGATTAATTTCATCTAAAACCATCTTGATTTGCAGAACAATTCCTGGATCAATTGTTGATTCCTTCTGGTGTTTACTACAGGAAAAATAAATATCAATTTTCAATTCACTTATGAAATAAATAGGTATAATACACAGTAAAGAAATTAAAAGTAGCTAGTACCTGACAGCAGCAATTCTATTGGAAACCTCATTGTCAGTATCAAATATGTATAGTTGTGAATACACTGGTTCTAAACCTTGAACTGGCAATAAGCTGCCAATATTATGATAGTTTTGTCCAAATAATATGAATGAGTAAGGACCTCCACCATAATTTTTAGAATAATCATTCTTTCCTCCCATTGATGTGAAAGAAAAGATGTTATTGTACTGTCTTATATTTGACAGAAAATTCTTCGTCTGTGCATTATCCTTTTGCAGAAATAACCACTGGAATATAGGAGGTGGAGTCTTCAAAGGTGGTAACACAATTTTTCCTTGCATACAACACATTGAGAAGATATTTATGGACCTTTTTTTATTATCTTTCTTGACTCTTTCATTAAACCACATGAGAGCACCACAAAATTTGCATTTATGTATAGGATCTCCCTCATCAATGTATCCTAAAGAACAATTTAAAGTTAATCAGATTATTATAAGGAGACAATAATGTTACAGTATATTTAAATTGAGACATAATATGATACCTTCGTTATAAATTTGGTGATCCAAGCTAGCTGTTGATGTATGGTAAGCATATTGTAAATGAGTAAGTGTGTTGCATATTTCTATATCTGTTGAAATTGAACACATGTTATAACCAAACTATCATATGGACATATATAAATGCATATATAAAATTATAAACATCTAATGGAAAACTTAAAAATAATAACTTGCCATGTTTTCATCGCGCCTAATATTATCTTCAATATCATCATTATCATTAGCACCAATCATGATCTCAATATCCTTGTAAAACATTTCTTGCTCTGCGAAGTTTGATATATGCATTGCACATGCGTTAAAATGAGGTCTAATATAGAAACATATATCATGATCCTAACAATTAAGGAGCAAGATATTATCATTCGCTCAATTAGGTAACTTACATGCAGTAATACTGATGTCATTCAAAAAAATTAATTATTATGCATTATTTTATTAAACTTAAATAATGATGAACTAATATATTTTTTATGCCTCCTGTAGTCAAATTATAAAGTATTCAAAATACTTACTTTCAGCCCATGTATTTGTTGCATCTGTCTGTTTTTGCTGCCAATTTTTCACAGGTACACTTGTATTTGTACAAAGTGACGAACTTTCCAGCTCAACGATCTCTATGGCTTCGAACAAATGTTATGATTTTTTTTATATGACTAAATATATTAGACCCATAAATTATGCAGCATGTATTACTAAACTTATATTCATGTAAATTAATTACATTAACAAACATTTCTGTTGAATATTTTTGTCAGCTGTTATACATGGAACTATATTTTCCAGTCCTCTGCTTCTAGCACTTTTTCGCGTCCGAGGTTGAACTTCAGAAAATGGTGTTTTATGCTTAGAACATTGAGAGTTCTGTAAACCTGTCCCAGACAAACATATAAATCAAATGGTTTAATCTGTATTAGTTATTAAAGTGAGACACAAACCTCTTAACAAATTGCTATCAAATCTCCCCCGTAGATTGCAAGCTACATTTGTTATATCTTCGAGTGCAATAGCTTTCCTTCTTCGGCTATGAGGAATATCGGACAAAACTGGATATGGTTGAGTATTAATATTTTCAGAACAGTGAACTACACTCTGATTTGTTACAATTGCCATGTAAGTGTTTTGATGTTGTCCATTATTTCCTATCAACAATGAAGTTAAACAAATTGGTGACTATGAACAGAAAATAACTATTATCATTACTATTAGTTATTATAAACTACAAGATAGCAGAACATTATAAAAGCAAAAAAAAAAAAAGAATGTAACAGAAATATTCTATTAGAATATGTTTCGAAAGAAGAAATAATAAACCTGACGTTGGCATGTTTTTCTCGATCTGCATTTCTGTAGAATTGCCTTGAGAATGGACCAAGAATTCATTACTGGAAGACATGGTGGCCAATCAACTTGTTGTGCAATGAGGATGGAGTATTATATATATAGCTCGTAATTTTTAGTAGTCCATTTATAACCATTCGGTAACTTTTTGGCTATCCAAGTCCTTCATTTTGATTGGTTGCCTTATCACTTCTTAGCTATCCAAGTCCTTCATTTTGATTGGTTGCCTTACTACCTATCCGTGGTAACAATTTTCCTATTTTGGAATATATATATATATGTTACTGTTCAAGTCTATTGGTCAATAGTGTTGGTGACAACATGTATTAAATATGTTATTACATATAACACTCATGCACCCAATACATATTTACTAATCCAAAAGCTAAGCAAGAGGAAATGATGTTTATAGTTATCCAAACAAAAACCAGAGGGACATTACGACAACTGCAAGTTTTGTTTACATTCTTTCATGGATAACTTATACAGGAATGAAGTTAATTGAACATGACCATCACAGGAGAGTTCATATGTTACTTATAATCATTCTTGAATTGTTAAAATTTAAACACGGGCTTGCTTCTTTGTTCTAAAAAAATGATTAATTCTACTTCACATGAATTAGAAGGCCTTAGTGTATTATTTCTTTATCAGACTGCATATTTCTTTATAAATCATAGTACCTTATTTCAAACTAAATTTATGAGTTTGATGGTTTAATAAATGCAAAAAGTGGATTAAATTCTAACACAAACACAAACTACTTTCATTAAAAAGAGACATTACATTGACAAAGACTCACAGGCATACAACTCCATCCTAAACATAACAAACACTAAATGGAATCTGGAAACACAGAAAACAGCGACACACACAAGTTAAACAGCTACAAAGCATAAATGACATGACAATAGTACATAACCACCATTGACAACACACTCATTTTTACTAAATTATTTCTCTATCTTGATAGCTTTCAGACGTCTCTCTTGAGGAGCTGTAGATGCTTCATCCATATGGTTCACTGCGTTGTTCTTCACACTGCCTCTTCTTTTTGCTTTAACAGGAGGATGTGGAGCATGGTTGACCAGATCTGATAGTTTCATATCATCTTTAGCATTACAGTCCGAAACAAACTCTATCTGTGCAGTTGGAGGAACTGTTTCATCAACTTTGACATGTTCCTCACCTTCTCCATTGTCAACCTGAGAACCCTAAATCAAACATAAACCAAAACTATCATGAGTCCAAATCTGTCTATTTAATTTAATAAGTAAAAAACAGTAAATTAGAAAGAATCTTTTAAAGAATAAAAACCTCAGTTGATGCTTGCGTGAACTGATCCATCAAATCTTCACATAATTGATATTGCAAAACACTAATGCTAGAACCTAGGTGGCGTTTATTATACTCATTGAGTTTCATAATGAGCAACAAGTTCTTCCCAACAGGATTGTCCAAGTTCTTTAGGAAATCAACTTCCTTAGGATCCTATATAGGCAAATGTTACACATGAAGTAATATTAATCTAATACAGACTGATTCATTTACAAATACGACTTGTGAGAATTTGGAATAATTTTTATACCTTCTCTAGCATCTGCATCAATTCAGTGGCTGTATTTTTAATCAAATCAACAGCAAGTTTATCCCAGAAAATGACAGAAGTACTTCCTGTGTGATCCTTGACAGTGTAGTGGACTTTCATCCTAAAGCACAACTTAATTAGTATACTAACATTTCTAAAATCATATACAACATATAATAAGGTGATTAGTAATAATACTTTGGTTCTATTGAATCTGGCGTCTTGCGACATGATGGACATATGGAAGTTTCATTCTCTAATCGAGGCTTTGTGCCACATTTTAAACAACCATCATAAACCCAATCATATCTTGTCTCTAACTTCTGAATGATACAGTTAATAACAAAATTTTCTCCTTGCTATCACACAGAGTTAAGGTAAATGAACTTAGAATTTGTAGTTATTTTTATACATATCATAAACCACACTAACCATTGGCTTATCTTTTATCTATGAGATAGTGATCTTGTTTTGATTACGTGCCATTCCAGAACATGACTGCTGGCTTAATTGAGAAGGCATGGTTTGACTGAGAAATGAGAGAGCTGGTGAGCCATTATCTTTTCCACTACATTAAAATGAATATAATTAATTAACTAAAGAAATGAAAGCAATACAAAATTAAATTAAATTTATATAATTTTATTTTTTTTCCTTATATCCACAGACCTATCAATAAGTTGTTGTACTTCCTTAATAGGTGGATTGAAAAACACCCTTGTAGCATTA